GTGTGTGTGTGTGTATGTATATATATGGGTGTGTGTGTGTGTAGTAAAAGCGTTACATTAGATAATAAATTTGATATTTGTTACATATTATTTCTAAAGTGTTACATATTTTAAAGTTAAAAGGCGTTACACTTGTGTTTAATCAATTGTAACAATTGTGGTAACACTTTTAGTGTGCTGAAAAATGCGTTACAATTGGTTCTACATATCGTTACATACCGTTACAATAGAGAAAAGGTAACGCGAGCGAATGTAACGACACAAAACTGTTACATTAGAGAGATTGTAACAAACTTTTCAACCATTGGTAACAAAATTGACTGTTACAAAAGGCCTTTAATTGTAGTAGTGTGAGTAAAAAAAATACAATGATCGTGTGAAAAAAAGATTTTAGTGCACTAAATGTATTTGAAACAATCCAGTTTGTAAAACATGTGGGTTTTACTATTGTACATGAAGGCATACGTTTTTATGAGTTGAACGAACAAGAAAAGTTTAAGACAAGCTTTTTTCACAAAAAATGTTTTGGAGAAGACTATGGTTTTGCTTTCATGTATTAGTCTAATGTAAGCTTGATCATAGGGTATGGAAAATGGCATGCTTCAATTCATTGGTTTTAAAATTGAATTTTGAAATATCTCCATGATAATATGATATTATTTCACCTGTGAACCCTATGTGTCCTAATTTTTTCTGAGAATAATATGTTTTTAAGTAAAAATATAAAAATTTTGGATGAAACATAACCTTCTGCACACTTTAAGTTAGGGCTAGAGAAATAAATTCATTGTAAAAGCAGTAGAAGTGCATACCTGTGGTCTGATCCGGATGAGCTTGCGGAGGCCTAAATCTAAACTATATCTAATTATTACATTTAGAGACCCCCCCAAAAAATTATGCAATGTAATAATAATTCTTCTAGACCGAGTTCTTATAAGCATCAAAGGATTCCCTGCATTTTCACAGTGAGATATTAGGTTAGATATCATCAAAACTTCAAATCTTCCTGTTTTGCGAAATTGTGAATTATGAAGAACTACATTCATTCCTTACAGTAAAATTGCAGAACAAGTTTTCCAGAAAAACAGGATTATTTTAAGGCACATTACCATATCTGCCACGCCCCCTGATTGGCTGGCATGTCAAGGGCAGGTAGTTTCACCATGGCATTTCTTATATTATTTTTTATTAACAATACAAACATTATTAAACAAATTTGTTTTATTTCATATTAGAAACATTACTCACCAGCCAATTGTTATCAGTTGGCAGTTCTTATAATTGTGTTTATTAGAGATATAAAGACATTTACGCCTGTTTAGGCCAATTATATTCACTTGGACAGCTCTGTAGTGGAAATGTACACACCAGCCAAGTGTCATTTTTTAAAAATATGTATCCAATAATTGTCTTTATTAGAGAGCTGTCCACTACATGTTTTAACAAATGACACTTAAAAGGTATATACCTGTAGTGGAAATGTGCTTAAATTTTCTGGAGTAGGATCTGGTGTGTATGAATTTATTGGATACATATTTAAAAAAAAATAAAGAAATACTTTAACAGATGTTATCTTGCCTGCTTTTTTGCACCGATTTCTATGCTTGACAAACTGCCACGTGCAGAGAGCTCAGCTTCCCCGTTTTCCTCCAATGCATTTAAAAAAAATAAAGTGTTAACAGATAATAGAAAGAAGAGGTAATTAATGAGATTGGAGGTTAAATATAAATGGGTGAGTATTGTGTACCGTCTATGGCGCACTACGGTTTCCTCAGCCTTTCTCCTTCGATGGGAATCACTGTCGTTGAATTAATGTTATTTTGTTGAACTGTAATAATGTTCGAGAGGGAAGAGTGTGTGTTGTGTGGGTGGGTGGTCTCAGTATGGTGAAGTGTGGTCTAAAAAATAATAAAGGTGTGGTGGTTGGGCCGGCGGGTGGGTTTAGGGTCTGGGAGTAATGAAGTCATGGGGGTTGGGTGTAGGATGGTTTAATAATGTTCAAGAAGAGTGTGGTTGGTTGTGCCAGAATAATAAATTCTGGGTAGTGGTTGGTTGGGCGGTGAGGTTTGAAAATCGAAAGTGCGTGGGCCCAGTTCACTCATTTAATTGAGTTGTTTTTTCAGAGGGTTGTCTAAGAATTATTCTACTGCTCTTATTCAAAATTAACTGCACACTTCAAAACTTTCTTATTTGACAAATTCAGTGCAAAACAGTAAAGTCAAATTTATTTAAATATATGTGTAGGTCAAAGTAGGAAATTAATTGCGGGACGGAGATAGTATATTTTTAAAGTGGTATTTCTGTATTTCCGTTTTTCATGAAATGTGCTTTAGTTATCTGCAAGCTGGATTCTTCCGAATTTCTTTTGCCTAAATTAAAATTTAACTTTAAAAAATCCATTAAATGTGTTATCAAAATTATACCTAAACTAATTCAGAATAAAAATTATAAAAATATATGTTTCCATACATTAAAATATATATTTTCGCGGTACTTTTTTGGATATTTTTTCCTGATATAATACAAGATTATAAGATCAGGCCCTGTGTGAAATAAGATGAAAAAATATTTTAGACTTTGATGAAACACTCGATTGCCCAAAAATAGCCTGAATTGCAGATTTAGCGACCAAAATCGAAAAAGGTTTTTACAACTTTTATAATTAAAATGATAAGGGTGCTATTATTTTCGTTGGGTAGCCTTTAACATAAGAGATAATGAAAACAAAAATTTACTGGCATTTGCATGTTGCACATCTGTAGGGTTTTAATTCATCTTGGTTTAAGTCGGTGTGTTTAATGATTTTTTTCGTAAATAACTTATATTTTCTTTTTGATCGGTCGATCTAAAACCAAAAGGTATTGCTTATTGTGAAAAAATGAAAAATATTTAGCAGATCTGACGCATGAAGGTCTGTATTTTTTTTCTGTTTCAACTCTAAAATTTAAGGGTATTTTTTGTGTTGTGGACTGTGGGTTGAAGATGTTGTGTGCCCCGGTGTGTGTGCATGTTTAAAATGGTCCGAATAAGTGGTTGGGTGTGTTTTGAGAAGAGAAAAATTACCTTTGTCTCTGAGGTATAACCGGAGGGAGACCGCCGTTGTTGGTTGTAGTCGGAGACCGTCTTTGTAGCTCTGAAGGTGGCTTCGATTCCTTCTTCTCCGATCCGTGAGCTTTGTTTGTGTGAGAGAGGGAGATGTCTGGCTGTGGCCGTTGTTGGTTCTGGGCGGTGGATGTTTTTGGAGGTCTGAATGGCTCTGCTATTCTGTTCTCCGATCTGGAAGTTTGTTACAGTGAGAGAGGGAGAAGTTTGGTGTTGGCGTGAATGTACGGGGGGTTTGTGGGGAATAGGTATTTGGCTTACGTAATAATCTTGGGTTGGGTAATTTCAGAATTTTCCTTTGGGCCGGCCCATCAGAGTGGTTTAGAGTTTGGGTTGTGGGCCTCATTGTTTTTGGAACAAATAATTAGTGCATGTTGTTTGACACAAAATCAAGATTATAAATATTAATTAATTGTTTTTTATGTTATTGTTTGTGTGGGATTAAACAAATATTTGCATTACATAATAATATTATTTTTTCCTTTAAATGGGTCTTTTTATTTTTAAATTTGGTATTACTTTTTTTTAAAATTAAATTAATCTGTTAATGATTATATGATGGGTCTCAACGTCGGCGAGGTTTCTAGCACGTATCTTAGTTCTGATAGCGTCTCAAAGGTAGATTCTACGACAGATCTCATGGCAGAACTGCACACCCCGGAATTCTTGAATAGCATAAAGTTGTCCGGTGTACCGAATCACATGTTGATGTTAAAGGTGAGCACCCCTGTCATGCTTCTAACAAATATTGATCATTCCATGGGTTTGTGTAACGATACTCGGCTAATTCTCACTAGGCTTTGCGATCATGTTTTGGAGGGGAGAATATTGACTGGTGTTAGTGCTGGACAGAAAGTCTTGATTCCTCTATTGTCCTTGACTCCCTCAGATGCAAACTTGGCTTTCAAATTTCAAAGTTACAGTACCCCATTATGATTTCATATGTCATGACTATAAATAAAAGTTAGGGCCAATCATTATCCTGTGTGACGTTTTTGTTGAAGAAACCTGTGTTTACGCATGAACAGCTCTATGTTGCGGTTTAAGAGTGACCAATAGGCGTGGTTTGAAAATACTTACTACCTCCGTCCCTTAAAACTTTTCCAAGTTTGACCGGCACAGGGATTAATAAAGTAAAAACTGTGTGGTTGAGGTTTGTGCAGAGGAAAGAGAATTAACTGGAACCACAATTTTTTTACTTAAAATGGCAATTGACAAAGTTAGTGGGACATCCAAAAAAGGAAAGTTGACAAAGTTTAAGGGACAGAGGGAGTATATGCAATGAGGGCGGGAGGATTGCGAGTGCCACTCAAAATGTGGTTTATAAAGAAGTTTTTAATAACGTGTAGCGTTCCATTCAATTCCGTTTTAAAGAAATGTCTGTAGTTCTATGCAGAATGATTTTGGTTTAGTTTATGATTATATTTCTATGTTTAATATTTTCTTGATCTTTAATTGTGCACTATGTAACTGACTCCTAATTCTTTTTTTACTATCAATTAATTTTTTGCGAAGGTATTGAAAACATTTTGAAAGGAAGAAAAAATTAGATAGAAATTCACCGACCGTGCATCGCACGGGTGCCTACTTAATTTAATTAAAAAACTTTAACACACAAAACTGCTTCTTATTTCATACAGACAATTGTCGATCTTGAAACAATACAACTATGTTTTCTTCCATTTTGATCTAACACAAACATTGCTTAGTCAAAATTAGCATGGTATAAATATCTATTCACTGCGTAATATCTTTTGTAAAAAAATAATCATCTTTCCATTTCGACTCTGATCTTTATGTGTTTGTGTTTCTTTTTTACACAATATACAACTTTTATTGTATTGAATTTAGTATAATATTAACGTTCGTATAAAAAAAATGAAACAATGCAGCATGAATTACGCCTACACCCCCACATATATTCCATGAACCAAAAACTACTAATTAACATAATATAAGGAACGTCAAACACCCTGCGGTTCGATGAGATTACTCTGACACTCCCAAAGATGAGGTCACAGATTCGAAAGTCATCCTAGTCAAGGATGTTGGTATTTAACAGAAGATATACTATAATAGATCATAAAGCATAGCAAAAAACATAACCTAAGGAACAAGCATGCAACTACACGTGAAAGACATGGTAATTTGGCATTAGTAGGAACTTGCTCTTTTCCAGAGTTTTTACCACTTTCAGTCCCCGGCTATTGTGTCGGTGACACTTTTAGTACTCAACTCTTAATTTTTCCATTTTTAGTCTCTAACTATTGTGCTAGAGACAATTTTAGTCCTCGACTTCAGAAATTCCTACATTTAGTCCCTTGAATATTATCAAATTGACACTTTTCCTTCCATTATGATTTTGGCACAAAAGTGGACTAAATATATCACTATTATAATAACTGAAGGACCAAAAGTGTCACTTTTGTGAAAGTCGAAGGACTAAATATGGAAAATTTCAAAGACGGGTACCAAAGGTGTCTCAAGCACAATAGTCGAGGACTAAAAATGGGAAAAATCAAATTTGAGTACCAAAAGTGTCAATGTCATAATAGTCGGAGGACTAAAAGTGGAAAAACTCCTTTTGGTTACCCTTGCTTTCATTCTATGAGAAGGTTAATTTGCCCCATTCTCCAAATAAAATAGTAAACGGGTTCTAATATAGGCTGGGTATTGGACTACATATGATTTTACATGTCAACAACCCCACCCACCCATCATTCATTTTCCCCGTCTTTACTTTCAACATCTTCCTCTACTGCCAACCTGGATTGAGAATCTTCTGCATTAAGAAGTGGAATATCAATGTTGTCACTGGCTGCTGTAAATCGACAGTCTCTATATGCCCCATCATTTGGTTCTGTTGTCGACACATTTTCTAGGCTTTTGACAGTTTCCAGCTGGGTTTGGCTTTGCCCTTCTTGATCATTGAACAATATTGGAGACGGAGCAGCAGCGATGTTCAAACCTTTAGAAAGACATACATATTTGAATACAAGTTTCTTGTAGTTATTTAGCAGTTCTTCAACATCACTGACGGTTAAGAAACCAGCCTGAGAGAAAAAATAAGGGAAAATCTGAAAGTAGTCGCTCATGTTGTCCTCCTTCATAATCATAGCTGCCCCTTTATTTTCTAGATCTGAGATTGATGGGATTTTATCAGTTGAAGGTTGATCCTTCGCATATTGTTCATCATTTCTGGATTTAGTTTCAGATGCCTCAGGCTGCAAAACAGTGGCATCACGTTTGGTAGTGTTCATGGCCTGTTTGAGTGCCTCTTCTCCAGAGTTTTGATTATTATGACCTAGTATATTATCTGAGTCTGCCATAAGGCCATACACAAGTGCTTGAGCAGATTTCATATTGCTGTCAAATTCAGTTTCATCCATGGATAGCGCCACTGCATCAATGTTCTTGATGAATGATTCTGCAGAAAGTATGTTCGTGAAATAGTAGGCTGCCTCTGACACTAAACGTGTTTCACGCCTAAACCGTTGTATGTATGCTAAATTAGAGTGCAACTGGGGAGGGTTTGCCTGTTCAAGACATCAATGTTAGTCACTGGAAAGAGCAATGCTAGGAGGGGGTGGCAGATTTTAATTCGCTAATTAACATTTTAGCACAAATTCTACAAAGGTTCCAATACATGTTAGAAAAGATGTGACCTCATGGAATTTTCTGTTGATACATGAAACCAGCCCCCTATGAGAATTAACTCTGTTATTGTAACTTGTTGCGATTGTTTTAAAATTTAGAGTAACTGAGACATGTTCATAAAATGATATTTAACAATTGAATCATTAAAATGATTCCCTATATATTAGGGTTATTGGGAAAAAATCCCTCTATTCCCCCACCCTGTCTTAGGATGGGGAAAGATAGGCCCTGTAAAAATGTATAGTTAGATTAATTTGTAGATAAATACTTAGTCTTATCTGATGTAAATCCCACACGTATGAGATAAAGATAGTTAGGTAGTCAGATCCTAATTTTTAGGATCTCATCATTTAGTTTGTTAGACTTGTATCCTATATATATTGTACCCGGGTGATGGAATAAATCAAGTCATTCTATTCTCTCAAACTTACATGGTATCAGAGCGGGCTGTTTAAACACCACAATGGTGGAAACCGAGCACTCTGGTTCTTCCCCTCACTCACAAACCCTTCACCCTAACTCCCAAATTAGCCAAATGACAAACTATCAGGCCTCGATTAATTCATCTATGCTCATTACTGGACATAGATTGAATGGAACTAATTATCTAGAATGGTCACAGTCTGTCAAGCTGGCAATTGATGGAAGAGGAAAGCTGGGATACATAACGGGTGAGATAGCAGAGAAGAAAAGTGGTGATGATGGCTACAGTGTCTGGAGGTCAGAAAACTCTTTGGTAACAGCCTGGCTTCTCAGTTCAATGGATGCATCAATCGCCAAACCTCACATGTTCATGAAAACTGCAAAAGAGGTATGGGATTCCATCAAAGAAACCTATTCAGATCTTGAGAACTCTTCTCAGATTTATGAATTAAAAACAAAGCTGTGGCAGTCCAAACAAGGAAGTAGAGATGTCATCTCATACTATAATGAGATGGTATCCCTATGGCAAGAGTTGGATCAATGCTATGATGCTGAAGAATGGGAGAGTGCCAAGGATCTGGCAAGACACAAGAAGAGGGAGGAAAATGATAGGGTCTCTATGTTCCTAGCAGGAATTAATAGAGACCTGGATGAAGTCAAGGGAAGAATTCTTGGAAAAAAACCTCTACCTTCAATCAGGGAGGTATTTTCTGAAATCAGGGTGGAAGATAGTAGGAAAAAGGTCATGAATAACACTTCAGTCCATCATGATGATCCAGGAGAGTCCTCAGCAATGATTGCCAAAGGAAATGAGAAGAAAAAGCCTTGATGTGATCATTGCAAGAAACTGTGGCATATTAGAGAGACTTGTTGGAAGATTCATGGCAAACCACCTGGAGCAGGACAAAAAAAAGTTGAAAGGGCCCTACATACTGCCATACCTGAAACTGATCAAGAGCAACAAGTCAATTTCAAGCAGCCAATTTTCACCAAGGAGCAGATAGAGCAGCTCCTACAACTTCTTAATACCCAAAAGAACCCTAAATCAGAAAACCCTTCTTGTTCTTTTGCTCAGAATGGTAAAATTGCATCATTTTTCTGTTCTGGAAAACCAAATGCCACCTGGGTCATTGACTCAGGTGCAACAGACCACATGACCTCCATTTCCAATCTATACTCTTCTTATAAACCCTGTGCAGGGGATAAGAAAATAAAAGTTGCAGATGGCTCTCTTTCAGCCATTGCAGGAACTGGAAATGTTAAAGTTTCCACTTCTATTGACCTTTCTAAAGTTTTACATGTCCCAAATCTATCCTGTAATCTTGTTTCTGTTAGCAAATTAACCAAAGATCTTCAATGTTGTGTTAAATTCTATCCTTCCTATTGCATTTTTCAGGATCTGGCATTGGGGAAGATGATTGGCAGTGCTAGGGAAGAAGATGGACTCTATATATTTGATAAAGGGACTGAATCAAATAAACAAGGTCAAAGAACTACTTGTCTGCAAACTATTACGTTTCCCAGTGATAAGGAGTTGTATTTAATTCATTATAGACTAGGTCATCCTAGTTTCCATTATTTAAAAAAGTTGTTTCCTCAATTATTTCATAATAAAAATGTTTCACAGTTTCATTGTGATATGTGTACACTTGCAAAGCATCATAAAAATTCTTATCTTCCCCACAGTTACAAACCTACCAGCCCTTTTACTCTTGTGCATAGTGATATTTGGGAACATCTAGAATCCCTACTTTAAAAGGAAAGAGATGGTTTGTAACAATTATTGATGATCATACAAGAATGACATGGGTATTTTTGATCAAAGAAAAATCAGAAGTAGAAAATGTATTTAAGCAGTTTTATGCAATGGTCCAAACTCAATTCAATACCAATATAAAAATGGTAAGAAGTGATAATGGCCGTGAATACTTTTCTACAAACCTAAATCATTTTTTTGCTGAAAAAGGAATAATTCATCAAAGTTCTTGCATTAATACTCCTGCTCAGAATGGAATTGCTGAGAGAAAAAATAGACATTTACTTGAAGTTACACGTGCAATCATGTTTTCAATGAAAGTTCCAAAATATTTATGGGGAGATGCTGTTTTACATGCTACCTATTTAATAAATAGGATGCCATCAAAAGTTTTAGGGTTCAAAACTCCAATTAGTATTCTGCAAGAATGTTGCCCTACTACTAGATTGATTAGCACTCTTCCTTTAAAAATCTTTGGTTGCACTGTTTTTATTAAAAATCCAGACAAAACAGCAAGTAAATTTGATCCTAGAGGAACTAAGTGTGTCTTTTTAGGTATTTCATCCACACAGAAAGGGTATAAATGCTTTGATCCTTCAACAAAAAAGATGTTTATTTCAATGGACACTGTTTTTGTTGAAAATCAAGTGTTTTTTGATACTCATCTTCAGGGGGAGAGTTTTAATGAAGATGCTACCAATGTGTCACATATTCATGACAATCTTGATTTTCTTGACATTAATCTAGATATGCATTCTATTAGAAACTTAGATGCATTAGAAAATGGTCAAGCATAAAAAAATAATGAAATAAATACAACTGAGAAACTGGGAGGTGAAGAACTGCAGATCAGTAAGTTCTTTGGCAAGGTTTATGAGAGAAAGGTTCCAAATCAAAGAGAAGAGGAAGTCTTTGAACCTACATCTGTTAATGAATCTGACCAGATGTCAGTAAATGAAAAAGGTAATGACTCAACTGATCTTGATTTACCTATAGCTCTCAGAAAAGAAAGGTCATGTGTCAAATATCCTATCTCAAACCATGTTTCCTATTCTAGATTATCCTCTACATTTGCAACCTTTTCTTCTATTGTCTCCTCTGTTTCTATCCCATCAACCATACAGGAAGCTCTATCTAAACCTGAGTGGAAAAAGGCTGTTTTGGAAGAGATGGATGCTCTTGAAAAGAATCAGACATGGAAGGTTGTAGAGCTACCTAAAGACAAGCCCACAGTTGGATGTAGATGGATTTTCACTCCTAAGTTCAAGGCAGATGGCACTCTTGAGAGGTATAAGGCAAGGTTAGTTGCCAAAGGTTATACACAAACCTATGGCATAGATTACACCGAGACCTTTGCTCCAGTTGCAAAGCTGAATACTTTCAGAATTCTTCTATCCCTGGCTGCAAATTTAGATTGGCCTCTTCAACAGTTGGATGTGAAGAATGCTTTTTTAAATGGAAAACTTGAGGAGGAAGTTTACATGAATCCTCCTCCTGGGTTTGAAAACAAGTTTGGTTCAAGAGTATGTAAGCTAGAAAGATCCCTGTATGGACTCAAACAGTCCCCAAGGGCTTGGTTTGATAGGTTCACACAGTTTGTTAAAAAATAGGGATATAAACAGGCCCAAGCTGACCATACTCTATTTATAAAATGTTCAAGTAAGGGGGAGATTGCTATATTAATTGTCTATGTAGATGATATTATCATTACAGGAGACTTTCATGAAGAAACACAAAGCCTGAAGAAAAAACTTGCTGCTGAATTTGAAGTCAAAGATCTGGGAGATTTGAAATACTTTCTTGGCATGGAAATAGCTAGATCAAAAGAGGGAATAATTGTATCTCAAAGGAAGTATGTTTTAGATCTTCTTCAAGAAACAGGGATGAGTGCATGTAAACCAGCTGACACTCCTATAGACTCAAACCAGAAGTTAGGAGATGTCAGAGATGGGGTTCCAGTCAATGTGCAACAATATCAGAGATTGGTAGGAAGACTTATATACTTAGCACATACCAGACCTGATATTGCTTTTGCAGTTAGCATGGTAAGTCAGTTTATGCACTGTCCATATAAAGAACATCTTGAGGCAGCCTACAGAATTCTTAGGTATTTGAAAAGTTGTCCTGGAAAAGGTTTGTTTTTCAAAAAGAACCATAGTAGGGCAGTAGAGGCCTTCACAGATGCTGATTATGCAGGATCAGTAAGTGATAGAAGATCTACTTCGGGGTACTGCACTTATGTATGGGGAAATCTAGTGACTTGGAGAAGTAAGAAGCAGAATGTGGTAGCTAGAAGCAGTGCAGAGGCAGAATTCAGATCAATGGCCAATGGTATATGTGAACTTCTTTGGATCAAGAGGGTGATCAAAGAACTAAATATGGAATTGGAGTTACCTATGAGACTATATTGTGACAACAAGGCAGCTATTAGCATTGCACACAATCCAGTCCTACATGACAGAACAAAACACATTGAAGTGGATAGACACTTTATCAAAGAGAAAATCGAAGCTGGAATTGTGTGTACACCATTTGTGCCTACCAGGGATCAAACTGCTGATATTCTAACAAAAGGATTGTTCAAACCAGTGTTTGAGAAACTAGTAAGCAAGTTGGGAATGTATGATATATATTCACCAACTTGAGGGGGAGTGTAAAAATGTATAGTTAGATTAATTTGTAGATAAATACTTAGTCTTATCTGATGTAAATCTCACACGTATGAGATAAAGATAGTTAGGTAGTCAGATCCTAATTTTTAGGATCTCATCATTTAGTTTGTTAGACTTGTATCCTATATATATTGTACCCGGGTGATGGAATAAATCAAGTCATTCTATTCTCTCAAACTTACAGGCCCCAACTTTGTTAGAGTGACAGAATATCCAGATATTACAAGTCCCCATGTTTGAGCAGATAAGTAGGTTACCTTTATTGTGACATATATTAGGACAGGGAGAAAATCATCTGCTCCCGGAGGATTTTCATTTTCTGAAATGGAGGCATTTAGCAAAAGATTTGTGATAACCTTGCAACAGTTAAGAATGCAAACAAGTTTATCCCTTGGCGCCTTGTACATATTGATTTTCAGCAACTCCTTCTGAGCAAGCTGAGAAAAGGTATAAAACAGGAATTAGACTTCTTGGTACCACTGCTTTTTGTAACTGTTCAATAACAAGAGATTTATTGATATTACATACTTGTACCTACATCCTTCATAGATACACAGCATGCATGTGTGCAATATATGTCTGCGAGTGTGCATGCACATGTAAACAAATATCTTCACTAACTCAAGGGACCCTTAAACTACATAAGACGTCTAGTTAGAGCATGTTTGGGATAACTTAAATTACAGGTGTTTTCAAATTTATACATTAGGTCCTACTAGGCAATTATCTGGATATATAAGCAATTGCATTAGTTTTTTAGGTTTCAACTTTCAAATAACCTTTTCTATTACCTTTTTTACTTTGTTTTAAGAAGAACTATTCGGTGATAATAATTAGCAATGAGTCATTTCATCATTTTCATTTACCCCAGTGCCGCAAAGGCTCCCCACCTACGGTGGGGTAAGGGGGTCGGATCTACGCAGTCTTACCCCTATACTAAAGCACATAGAGACTGTTTCCGGATGACCCATAGTGAAAATCGCGTCCAAAATTGCATGGACTGACTGCTGCTTCATAACAAAGAAACGCAGACAGTTTAGTGAGACATTTTGCTTTATTCCATCATATTCTCAAGCCAAAAAATAATGCATCTTTCTCTCCATTGCAAATGATGGAAAAAATAATTAGCAATGAGTAGCTTTTTATAATATATATAATGTCATATGAAGGTAGTGTGTGAGTTTGCTTGTACTTTTTTTTGAATGCGCTATCTCGCATATTATAGTATATGTTCTATTGAATGCCACTGTCCATCATTTCCAATGGAGCCAAAGATTCACTATTTTTTTGCTTGGGAATATGATGGAATAAAGCAAAATGGCTCACCAAAATGTTTGTGCTTCTTTGTCATGAAGCAGGCAAGCAACCGTCGGTCCATGCAATTTTCGACGCAATTTCCATGGTCACACGGAAATAGTCTCTGTATGCTTTAGTATAGGGGTAAGATTGCGTACATCCGACCCCCCATTACACCCCACCGTTGGTGGGAGACTTTGCGGCACTGGGATAATGTTGGTGTTTTATTAAATACAAACAACCTTGACTCGGATGAGTTTCGAACGTGGAACCTCCTCATTGGGAGTGGTACAATGATGTCATTGAAGCACAAGGTGTTTGGCAGTGGCAGTTTGCTTGTACTTTTAAAAGAGTGATTTATTATAAATGATAAAAGGTGGTAGTGTTTGAAAATAAATGATTCAAAAAAAGTGTGTATGGAAAAAGCGTAATTTGTTGTGTACATAACATGAAGTGCTTGGTGAAAGAGTAACTTGTGGTGTATCATTTGGGTGAAATATTACCAAATAAAACTAAAAAGCTTTGAGGTGCATTATTTGTGTGCATTACTTGCCAAAACTTTCGCAGTGAATGGAAAGTATGAGGCAGTTCAGGAAATACAGATTGCTATTGTTTCTTACCTGGAAAAGAACTGTTGAAAGTGAAGAGAAGCCATATGAGAAGAAAAAATGGTGAAAGTCTTTCGCAGCCAACCGAAAATGAGAATGGCTGCTATTAGGAATCAAATACGATGATGACTAAGGGTAATCAAGAACAGAATGAGAGTTATGCATAATTGCATATCCATCGTCATCTCGGGCAAACAACCTTGAGCAAGCAACTACCAACACCAATCATTGTGACTGCCTAATTGCTGAAGCTCTCAATCCAAATGGGAAGGTTTTGCCACTTCATGTATCCGAGCTGAAGTATTGGGAAGGGGCGCGAGGCTGAAGTTGAATGGCATGGCTGTTTCTTACTCCTCGCCTTGAGGACAAGGTGGATGTCAAAGGGGATAGTGATGATACGAACCTGAGCTTATAGCGAGGGAATTAATAGGATCAATTCTGAAATATTTAATAATCTGTAATAGGGAATTGGGCTGAGCCAAGTAATTAGTTAAACTGAGGAGAAGCCTCATTGGAAAAGAATAAATAGAAGGAATAGTATAGGGAGAGGGCAGACTGGGATTTGGGAAAAATTGGGATTTGGGAAAAGTTGGGATCTGGGAGAGATCGAGGCCCTCTCGAATTGGTCTCGGCTGTATTCCTCGTGTTTTCTATAACTTCAATAATATTTCTACTCCAATTTTCTGTGTTCGCATCACACTACCATTTCCGACATAATCTATCTCTTAAGCTCCAATGTAATTGTGCTCTTAACCATTTGAGCATCAAACCACACCAGCTCATAACATTATTCAAAATCTCTATTATGAATTTAACAATCTGTCTTCTTAACAACTTCTGCTTAAACTTTTGCAAGTTTATTTGAGCAGGATTTAGCATAGATTCTTACTTGCATTATTACTCTTTCATATCTTGTTGCATTAAGAACTCATTTGAGAGCTTCGTGATTCAATGGATATACTTACTCAATTGTACCCAAGTAATATATACAACAAAAATAAAAGGCAATACCTGAAATTCCTAATAATCATAATATAAAAGGTTAGGTAGATCCATCAGAGCAGCGCACCCTAACCACATACACTTACATAAGAATATACTTCACTCACCAACCATGATGTCTCGTTTTGAAAGACTGGATTGATATCCAAATTCTCTGGCCGGATAAATTGTTGAATCAAAGCCATCTTTTCATGAAGTTGTTCATCAACTTTCACATCTTCAGGATGTGAGGCAAAAACATGTAGATACAGCTTTGTCATGACATATTTCTCTAACCCCTATATTTAGAAGAGTGGATATCATAAAGCAGGAAATAAATTGGTTAAGAAATGATAACACAAATTTTCATCAAGCATATTGTGAAAGACATTAGAATATACTTTAGAATATACTTTAGAATATTCTTCTATCCTTAGAATATACTTTAGAATATTTTAGGAATATACTCTAGGATATTATTATTGTATAGAATCTTATAGGAATATTCTATCTTTGTAATGTGTATTTATAGGGACTTACCCCTCCAATGAAATACACAGAAAATCATTCTCTTCTCATTACTATCCTATCCTTAATTCCGATAACATGGTATCAGAGCATATATGTTCCATTTTAGCTTAGTTTCCATTTTTATTCTTTTCTTTCAGAACCTCAGTTCACAGAACATCAGCCTATACCAACCCCAGAACCTTAGTCCAGAACCCATCTCACCTTCACCCTACACTGGTGCGCCTTCTTCCGGCGACCAGACAGTGGGAATCCGCGCGTCCCAATCACCGCGAGAGACCTACACGCGCCACCCTAAAGTCTCGTGGCTTGCGCACGCGCCGGCGCGTGACGACGATCGTCTGACCGGAGCTTCGAACGGAAACCCTCTCCAGACTCGTCGGGGCTTCCTCTAGCAACACCCAGGCGGAAGGGCTGTGTTCTAACTTGGACCATAAACGAAAAAGGCTGTAAGTTCATTTAAAGTTTTATTTCTAAAAAAAATACAAAAAAAAAATCAAAAATGCCTGGTTCTGACGCCGATAGCTCTGCAGTAACACAAAGTCGGCCTTTGATAGTTTCTGAAGTTATTCCCATTAATTTTAAAATTACTGAGAATAAACTTTGTGGCTCCAATTATCTTGAATGGAGTAAAACTATCAAGCGTCATTTAAGGAGCATTGATAAATATACCCACTTAGTTGATGATCCGCCAAAGGAGGAAGTTGATAAAGCTGCTAATGATGCCTGGCTTCGTGATGATTCAAGATTATTTATCCAGATTCAGAACTCCATGGAGAATGACATCATGGGGTATGTTAGTCATTGTGATACTGTGAAAGAACTGTTTGATTATTTGGAATTTATGTATTCAGGCAAAGGTAATCTTAATCACATCTATGAGGTGTGCAAAGCCTTTTACAGAGCAGAAATGAAAGATAGCCTCTCATGGCTTATTTTATGGATTTCAAGAAAACTTATGAAGAGCTTAATACATTAATGCCATTTAGTCCTGATATCAAAGTGCAGCAGAAACAACGAGAACAAATGGCGGTTATGAGTTTTTTGGCTGGTCTTACGACTGATTTTGAAACAGCCAAATCACATATCTTGTCTGGTGATGCGGTCTCTTCTCTTCAAGATGCTTTCAGTAGAGTTCTTCGCACTGACACTTCATCCACATCACCAGCACCTCAACCAAGCAATGCTTTTGTAGGACAGGTCCCAACATTCCCCAAAGAAGGTGAGAAATGGCCACGCACTGGATCGATTGGCAAAGGAGTAGTATGCAACTACTGTAAGAAACCCGGACACTTGATCAAAAATTGTCGAAAACTAAAGTTCAAAAATCAAGGAAATCAAGTTGCTCACATTGCTTCCGCTACACAACCATCTGATGGCTCCATCATTATGTCTTCTGAGGAATACACCAAATTTCTTTGCTACCAGGAGGCTCTAAAGCATTCATCTACTCCTATCTCAGCTGTCGCTAATTCAGGTAATCCAAACACATGTCTTGTGTTTTCATCCTCAAAATGGGTTATCGATTCAGGGGCAACAGATCATATGACAGGTAATCCTGGTCTTTTTTCCTCATTCCACACACCTCTTCATACTTCTAGTGTTACTTTGGCTGACGGATCTACGTCACCCGTTCTTGGAACGGGTACAATTGTCCCAACATCTACCTTACCTTTGTCACCCGTCCTAAGTCTACCAAATTTTGCTTTTAATTTGATTTCGATCAGCAAAATCACACGTAATCTTAATTGTTCTGTAACCTTTTTTCCTGGATATTGTGTATTTCAGGATCTGTTGACGAATCGGGTTATTGGTAAAGGATATGAGTCGGCTGGTCTCTATCTCTTGAATACATCCATCCCTAAATCCATCTCTTGTCTTGGAGTTGGAACTGTGTTAGAGGCTCACTATCGACTAGGACATCCCTCTCTCCCGTTGTTAAAGAAACTTCATCCTCAATTTAATAAGGTGTCATCTTTAGAGTGTGATTCATGTCAATTTGCAAAACATCATCGAACTAGTTTAAGTCCTCGAGTCAATAAACGAGCAAACGCTCCTTTTGAACTTGTTCATTCTGATGTTTGGGGCGCTTGCCCTGTTGTGTCCAAAACTGGTTTTAAATATTTTGTTACCTTTGTTGATGACTATTCTCGTATGACTTGGATATATTTCATGAAATGTCGTTCTGAGTTATTCTCTCATTTTTGTGCCTTTTGTGCTGAAATTAAAACTCAATTTAATGTACCTGTTCGTATTTTAAGGGGAGACAATGCTCAAGAATATTTGTCAACCTCATTTAAATTGTATATGGCTCACAATGGCATAATTCATCAAACTTCATGTGTAGACACACCTCCCCAAAATGGAGTTACTGAACGAAAGAACAGACATCTATTAGAAACTGCGCGGGCACTTCTGTTCCAAATGAATGTGCCTAAACATTTCTGGGCGGATGCTGTGTCTACCGCATGTTTTTTGATAAATAGAATGTCATCTACTGTGTTGGATGGTAAAACTCCATATCAGTGCCTATTTCCAAATACTGAACATTTTCCTATCCCTCCTAAAATGTTTGGTTGCACTTGTTTTGTCCGAAATGTTAATCCCCATTTAACAAAATTAGATCCCAAGTCATTAAAGTGCATTTTCTTAGGCTACTCTCGAGTTCAAAAGGGTTATAGATGTTTTTGTCCAAGTACGGGTCGATATCTTGTTTCAATTGATGTCTCCTTTTATGAAAATACACCTTTTTCATCAACAGAGACAAATATTTGTAGGGAGAATGATGACATACTCATTTACACAATCACTATACCCGAGTTCGCTGCTTCAGCCATTGTTCCACATGTTACTTTTCCTGAGCCTAAGCCCCCAGTACACTTGGTATACACCCATCGAAACAAAGTACAAGATCACCCTCCACCTGTGGTTACCTATCCTGATACTTATCTGATCTCGCTCTCATGTCCTGACCCGATACCTGCATCTCCAAATCCTGCCTCTACATCAGATCTTGACCTCCCTATAGCACTTCGTAAAGGTACACGGTCTTGTACTCATCCTATTTCTTCATTTGTGTCGTATAATCAGTTATCATCTGCCTCATGTTCTTTTATTGCTTCCATTGATTCTATTTCTGTTCCCAAATCTGTTAAAGACGCTTTGTCTCATCCTGAATGGCGTCATGCCATGGTAGAGGAAATGAATGCTTTGGATCTTAATGGTACTTGGGATTTGGTAGACTTGCCTCCAGGAAAGAAATCTATTGGATGTAAGTGGGTCTTCGCTGTAAAGGTTAACCCTGACGGATCCGTTGCTCGGTTGAAAGCCCGATTAGTGGCGAATGGTTACGCTCAAACCTATGGTGTCGATTATTCTGACACATTTTCTCCTGTTGCTAAATTAACATCTGTCAGGTTACTTATTTCTCTCGCTGCAACTAATGGTTGGCACTTACATCAGTTGGACATTAAAAATGCATTCTTGCACGGTGATCTTCAGGAGGAAGTTTATATTGAGCAACCTCCGGGATTTGTTGCTCAGGGGAAGTATGGAAAAGTGTGTCGACTTCGCAAGTCTCTTTATGGTTTGAAACAGAGTCCCTGTGCATGGTTCGGAAAATTCAGTCAATCAATTGAACGATTTGGAATGATAAAAGGCAAATCAGATCACTCTGTATTTTACAGACAAACGAAAGCAGGTATCACATTGCTTGTGGTGTATGTCGATGATATTGTGATTACAGGGAGTGATAATGCAGGTATTTTGGCCCTTAAGAATTTTCTTCATATTCAATTTCAGACAAAAGATTTGGGCTCATTAAAATACTTCTTGGGGATTGAGGTTACAAGGAGTAAGAAAGGCATATTTCTATCTCAGCGTAAATATGTGCTTGATTTGCTAACTGAAACAGGGAAATTGGGGGCAAAGCCGAGCAATACTCACATGATTCCTAATGTGCAGCTCACTCATGAAGGTGTGCCATTCGAAGATCCGGAAAGATACAGAAGGTTGGTTGGAAAGCTTAACTATCTCGCAGTTACCCGTCCAGATATTGCCTACTTAGTCAGTGTAGTAAGTCAATATATGTCATCTCCGACAGTTGATCATTGGAATGCAGTAGAGCATATATTATGTTACTTGAAGGGGACACCAGGACGAGGTATTGTTTATCAAAATCATAATCACATGAGAATAGAATGCTTTGCAGATGCTGATTGGGCTGGATCTAAAGATGATAGGAGATCCACATCTGGCTATTGCGTCTTTGTTGGTGGTAATCTCGTCTCTTGGAAAAGTAAGAAGCAAAATGTGGTTTCTCGTTCGAGTGCTGAATCAGAATATCGGGCTATGGCACAATCAGCATGTGAGATAATCTGGATAAACCATTTGCTGAGTGAAATCGCATTGAAGACACCAATGCCTGCTAAACTCTGGTGTGATAACCAAGCTGCTATACACATTGCTAACAGCCCAGTGTTTCATGAGAGAACAAAACATATTGAGGTCGATTGTCACTTTGTTCGAGAAAAGATACAACAAGGATTGATCTCTACAGGATATGTGAAGGATATGTGAAGACTGGAGAGCAACTTGGAGATTTGTTCACTAAAGCATTAAATGAAATTCGTGTTGGTTATTTATGTAACAAGTTGGGCATGATAAATATCTATGCTCCAACTTGAGGGGGAGTGTGAAAGACATTAGAATATACTTTAGAATATACTTTAGAATATTCTTCTATCCTTAGAATATACTTTAGAATATTTTAGGAATATACTCTAGGATATTATTATTGTATAGAATCTTATAGGAATATTCTATCTTTGTAATGTGTATTTATAGGGACTTACCCCTCCAATGAAATACACAGAAAATCATTCTCTTCTCATTACTATCCTATCCTTAATTCTGATAACACATATAATCAAAAGATTTAACGAACAAACAATGAGGGAAGTTCCAATGTATTCTGTGGATAATTTAGACCAAAGAAAACAAGAGGTTTTGAGATCCCACCCGTGAACATGCTAAATACACTTGCTACTGTACTGTTTGGTGTAAAGGGTGTCATAGTATTTGCTGTATTGGTAGTTTGGCACAGTGGTACTGAGAAACATCCGAACACATCAAATTCCTAGGTTAATGCAGTGTTGGTCTTTTAATCTTCTTCAATAGATCCACTTGGTTTTCCCATTTAATAATTTAGTTATATTTTTACAAGATTTTTTCCCATCAGAATAACTTGGAAGTGATGAAGGAGCCTCGATTGTAGAGGCTTGGTCATGTGTGAAGAAGACTGAGTGATGCACCTATTAGACGAGTTGAGAAGGGGGGGGGAGGGGGGATAGAGAGAGGAAGACCCAAACAGACGTGAATTAGAGGAATCAGAACTGATATGTTTCTTCTTGGGTTGGATCAGAGTATGGTTTTGGAGATAGCAAAGTGGAGGGCGCATATTCGTGTGGAGGATTGATCTATTTTCTCTTTTTTTTATTATCTATTTATCTTCTTTATCTTTATTATGTTCTTATGTTAGTTTTATCTTTTATATTTAGTGTGTTCTTTAATCTTATCTTTATTTTTATCTTTATCTTACCTTATCTTTTTATTTTTCTTGTTTTCCTTTTCTTTTTGGCTTCGAGGATTGATTTATGTTAGCAGACTCCGAAATCGTTGGGGAATAAGGCTTGGATGTTGTTGTTGTTGTTGTAGAGTAACCTTGAAGTGACAAAAAAAATCACATAGTATCATTTATGAAGCTGAGAGATTAAACTTATGGCTGTGGTAAGTAAAAAAAACTAATAGTAGAAAATAAGGTGTAATGTGATCCAAAATCCCAAACAATTTTCTTTAATTTTCATTATAATGATTATTATCGCCTATTTTGAGTTATAATTAATTGGTCTAAACTCTAAACAGTAAGGTTGAACCTCGCAAGCTTATTAGAGTTACTATGGAAGTATCTATCGTAACCCCCAGGGACCATTACGTTCAAGGAATGTAGGATTACTTGGTGAATGTTAACTTATTGGGAATGTCATATTTGTTGAGAATGTGTTTATTTTGTGGATGGTTAAATTTGTGGAAGTTGGGGAAACAATGCTAGACTTGAGAACCTATTAGGTAGAACCATCTGCAAGAGAGTATCATGGGTATGAGAGGTATGTTTACTGACATAGAAAATAGATTATGACTAGATTCGTGGCACCGAGTCAATGACCCACTTTTAAGAGGAGGAAACATGACCTATTTAGATTGCCTAAAATGCAGATAGAGCTGAAGGTTCATGAATAATTTAATGACTCTTTGTGTTGAAGACAGTTGACAAACTCTTCTGTAGAGACCGTGGCACATTGGTTTTAACCCACACCAGCAAAAACAAGCAGGAAAGCAAAAAAGATTGAATATCCATGAAACACTAGCGGTAAAAGCTTAAAAGTCCATGAAACACTTTTATGCGAGCTTCAAACTGATTCAGTCCAAAGATGCAGTGCATCAACAGGTTACACAGGGAACCTCGGAAATGGACAAAAATTGTTTGGTCACCATTTGTGGTGACGTGTGAGCCTTCCTTGATTCCAAAGATGAAACTCCCAAGATCACCTTGTAGACATGTATCATTCCTCATTATCTGGGTGGTAACATCAGGAGGTCAGTGAGCTGTCGACCTAAACTTCTTTGCAAACATTGTATGAAAGATTGGAAGCCCGAAGAGAGAAAAATATTTATGTCCCAAACCCTACACCTAGGTATTATGATACTGGTAAAAAATCTCAAAATATACAAGAGGGATGAGTGGATGACAAATAGCCCCAATGTAGTCAACTCAAAGACAGCTTATGGATTTCAATAATATTCATCTAATTGATACGAACAATTGGCACTTCATGTAACACTCGAATTTTACAACAATCATCTTTATTGTGTTCAGTCCTTTCTCAAAACACTCAAACACTGATATTTGCAGCTATGTGGAGTGTCATATTGCAGTTCCTGAAGTCAATGCTTTAGCCATATGACTCATATCGATTCACATTTGGCTAGAATTGTTGCGCAATAGTCAGTATCTTTATTTAATCTTGCAAAAACATCCCACTTCTAATTCTTCTACAAAATTATATTACCACCCATAAATTGGATTAAAAAAAAAAGCCGAACTGGCATAAGATTATACTATGTAAGAATTAAAAACTTGTCTGTGAGCTCTATGGCTCTATCTTCATACAGTATTCTTTGTCCAGCTTCATTCTTGTATACCTTAAGATTCGAATAACAATATCCAAATGAATGTATCATAGTGTTTCTAAGAGCTGATTTAGTACTTTGTACTTTGAACACTTATGAGATACAGGTTCAATAGAGAAATGGCTCAATGTTCAAGCAACTAAGCAAGTCACATGTATCATTCTCAGTCAAATAAGCGCTCCCCCATTATGGTAGGAGCTTGACATTTGGATCCAAAGGATTTCCTGAAGGTCTACAGTCGAGCATACTACCTTCTTAGATAATGCAGAAGGTGTAATTCCTTTGTGAGAGATATATGTCACTAAAGGATTAGGTCAACTCAATACCTAGAAAGTATTTAAACAGTACATCAAAGTCTAGAAGTACATCAAGATCAGCAGTACAAATCCGCTAGTTTACATTTCGGATATCTCTTTATGTTTACTTGCAAGTGTACATATTCAGTAATCTCTTTCTGTTTCGAAAACCAGCCACGTTGAGGGAGGGTTAGTAAAAAATAATGTGCTTCTCCCCTCATGTTGAAAGCTACTAATATCACATTTTCTTGTGGGATTTGTGTGTTGGAGAGATATAGTTCACAATGGTGTAAGGAAATAAATGGATATTTTTCCAAAAATACAAGGCAATCCAGTTCAGGATACTACTACTATACCATGAGTGTGAATCGTGTGATGCTTAGTCATCTATGTAAAATGGTGGCTGAGAGCTTCGCGTGGGCGCCGCTAGTGCAGTCAACGAGGAAGTTTGGGTTTGAGTGGGAATGAAGGATTCCATTGTGTTACCCTCTTTGTGTATAGCTTCTGTTATGATTGTTATTCAAAGATTTTTGGAACTAGAGTGGTCCATGTCATTAGCAATAAATGAACAAAACCAATGATAAAGGCTTAGAACCAAATGACAGACCATTTGTGAAGAAAAAGGATGGAAACAGATAATTTTGCGGGCTGGTTGGGTTTTGTTAATATCCCAAGAGGCCAAGAACACCCTTTCATCCTTTCTTTTACCTAAACTTAAGCATCTGTTAAACTGAAACCTATACCCCATTACATCATGACAGTCTTCACAGTGCCAGTCAAATAAAACGACGAATTCTAATGCAAAACTATAACTACAATACACTAAGAGGATTACTAAATGTATATGATATGAAGCAGAATCTGGGCTTGGAAGAAGAGGGGAAGAAGCCCCCGTGGGTTTACCGAAGGCGGGACGGGCTTGAGCCTACCTCCGTGGGCTGGTTACGGGCTGTTTAAATAATATTTATTCTTTTTAATTTTCCTGATTTGTTTCCTATTAGGAGTTAACTAGGATTTCTAATATTTATTTCCTATTAGGAGTTAATTAGGATTTCTATTATTTCTTTCCTATTTGGAGTTGATTAGGATCTTTATTATTCTGTTAGAGTTGATTAGGATTTCTAGGATTTTGTTTCCTAGTTTAATTATTAGTAGATGGGTATTTAAACCCCTTGTTAGGATTTATTCTGGCTCATCTTAGAATAAAAGTTGGTTTAGCCTTTTGGCTTTGGGCAACGGTATTTATTTATCGTTGATTATCTGGGCAACGGTTCACCCCGTTGATTTTTTTTTTTTCTGTTCACAACAGTATAAGAAAAGACTAACTAAAACATTTAAAGAAAAACAGCAATTAAAGTATACGAATCATAAAATATTAAAATAATTCAAGCTTTCTGACCAATGCCAGTAGCTTATTCCCAGAATGCATCATGGAGTCAACAAGTATAACATTTGAAACATAAAGAGACCTAAGGAGTATTAAAGCAGTAATAATAAAGGAAGTGAAGTACTTAATTCACCCACACGAGCAGAGACAACGGAAAGGGTGTACTCACTTCTCCCGCACTCTCTAGCTCCTCCTCAGAACAGCCAGCCCAAAGTGAATGTGCCCGGAAAGCAGCTTCCATGTTCCCAAGAAACTCCTGCACTGTTGCACTATCCTTGTCTGGATCTGGAGCATTGTTTGAAAATGATACTATGAAACTGCAAATGTTTCAATCAATTTACTCAAATGCTGCTAAACAACGTCAGATGTATGATGGAATAACATCTATGCGCAAATGTAAATCTATATGGGAAGGCTGATTAATATATGAGGACATGAATTTAAGAAAAATCATACTATGGAATGAAAAGGGTCTAGGAATTTTTCAAGCCAGACATATAGGCTTGGTTTAATTGATAGCGGGTCTTTTAGGAGAAGAAAAAAGGATTTGCTGTTCCTTTCCATTTTTTTCTCTGGACATAACAGTGATAACCCTGGACAATGCATCTCTTATGTATTATTAGAATGGATAAGTTACATGCATCAAGATAGATGATCAGTTATGCTTCCCGCCAGTTTCTCTGGGGCCTGGGCAGCAGAATCGATGACCTGATCATCCTCAACAGCTCAACAAGTTAATGTATTAAGTTTAATCATTTTTGGGTTGGTGTGCCAGTAAGACTCATAAATATTGGAACTTGGAAAGCATCAAAAAAATATCTCTTTCATTAAAACAACACAGAAAGTATCACATTGGGCAACCATTATGAAAATTATATCATCAGACCAACTGATAAAAGTGCATAAGTATTTTGACTAATATATTTATCAAATCTATGCCATGTTTCATCAAATGTGAAGTCTCATAGGATTGAGTCATAATTGTTTTTGCCTCTTGAAGTAAAGTCTCACCACGCATGTTAATAATGTTCATAGAATAAAATATGGGCACACTAAAACGTCCAAAGGGTTATGATTTATTGTTTTTTAATTGACCATTTTATATGTGAACGGCCCTTTTGATGGCCAAAAATTACTGCTTGAAAAGAATCCTTACACAGTTACACTAAAAAGTTGCACTAAGTCATTAACGCACATAAGCCTCACTACAAACTGTTATTCTATTCTTTGTTAAAATATTGTGGAGTCAGAGAGAGAGAGAGAGAAAGAGAGTGCATGATAGAAATTGCTGCAACCAAACATTTTTCAGCAACATTTTTTACTCTTTAAATAGGATTCACGAATTACTGCAACCAAACACTATATATGTTACGCTGCAATATACTATTGCCATAAACATCATTGCACATCAAATTCTTTTCAAAATTGTTTGGTCATTTAAAAAATATATTGCATTGATTCAGCTATATTGCTTTTGACATACAAGCATAAAGATGCAGAACAAACATAGCGCATACATACACTAACAGAATGACATAGACCCCAGCATAATTTGCAGTGTTGGATGTAAGGGTGCATCACTTAAAAATGGATGGAATAGATCAAAACTCATGGTAAACCTAAATGTGTAATACGTAATAGTAAAAGTGCATATGCGATGTGTAAGGGTGCACATTCACCCCCTTAAAAACATCACAAAACGATTTCTATACTTGTTATTTTATTTTTGAAACGTGATGCACTTTTGTGTTAGTCCAATGCACTTTTCTTCCATAGTCATGCACATTTATCACATTATTTTTCAAAAAAAGTTTCTAATATTTACACTTTTGTCACCGAATTTTTCACTTTAAAATTGATCGGATCCACTCAATTTCTCATTCTAATGGCAAGATTACTTCTCATTTTTCATATGAGGAGTGCTTTGCATTTGAACCTGATAGGAACCCACTTATATTAGACTAATAATAGAAGTATTAATAATAATATTAGTAATAAGGGTCTGAGTACCCTAGTATAAATAGAGGGGTAAGGGAGTTAGAAAGGAGGCTTTTGGGACTTTGGTCTGGGAACTGGGAAGATTAGAGACTGACGATCTCTTCTCTTTTGGGAGGCTTCTGCCTAGGTCGCTGTACTGTTCATCTTCTTCAATAAAGAATTTCAGTTTGTTTCTTGATAATAATTCCTGTAATTGTTGTAATCTTGGAGGACTCTATCATTGGTATCAGAGCCAGTTGATCGCTGGATGACCGTGACGGAAGGAAGAATGACGGAATTGGAAAGAAGTCAACGTGAGAGGCAGGCGAGTATGGATAGAAGTCTGCGGGAGTTTCAAACTAGTATCGCGACTACTCTGGCCACGATGCAAGCTAGTATCGCGGATTTGCAGAATAGGTCTCCACGTCGATCAGGGAGTCGATCGCATAAATCGACTTCATCGCACCCTACGTCACACCAGGGGCGTACGAGGTATAAAGATAGTTCTGAAGGATCGGACAATCAGTCGGGTGATTCTGCATCGGGGCGTGATCGCGATCCTCACAGGCATCGTAAAGATCATCATAATTCGCTAAAGTCAGCAACTTCAGAGGAATCAGAAGATCTGAGGCATCGCAGAAAATCTGGCGATCGAACTGTTTCTTCGCCAAGCTCTTCACATCACTCTTCGCAGAGTTCTTCTCATCATTCTTATTTTCGCTCTTCGCATCAGACTTTCTCAACGGACATCAGTACGCGTTCAAGAAAGAAGCTAGGGAGTGGAGAATCATCACATTCGTCGCCAAAGGATTCTCACAGTTCACCTTCTTGGTCTAAAGTCAATTCTAGGAAGTCAGATATTTCAAAGGAGGAATTACCTCTATTTTACGAGCATGAAGCATACGAATGGATTGGGAGGATGGAAAGATATTTCCAAGTCCAAGCTATTGCAGAAAGATTTAAAGTGGATGTGGCAGCAAAGGCTATGGGGGAAGAAGCAGATGACTGGTTTCAATGGTGGGATTTTCACAAGAGAGAAGACAGTTGGGATGCACTAAAAGAAGATTTGATTAGGGATTTTCCACCTAAACACCTGCAGAAGACAGGGAAGACGGTAAAACAGGAGTCATCCAAGTCACGAAGAACTTCCAGTTCGCAATCTTCTAAGCGAATTAATGTTACTCCATGTTTGAAATCGAGTACCGCTTTGACCAACTCGCTAATTAATCATCATCTTCAATCGTCATCAGAAGGAATTGTTACTGATTTGCAGATGTCATCAAAACCTTTGTCCCAGGTTTCCGAATCAAGATGGAATCCGGCTGAATCATCAATTTCAAATGAACCTGTAATCAAGATGGAACCAACTGAACCTGTAATCAAGCAAAGGAATAAGGAAGATGAAATCAGGGAGGAAAGAGTCCTAATGGTTCCTGAAAAGTCTGATCCAAAGATTCATAAGGATCATGTTTATCTTTTTTCTGAAGAATCTGCTATCACCCGGGGAAACCGCACACAGATTAATGCTGCTGATAAATCTAGCCATGGCCAACACCTCGAATTACAACAAGCAGAATTACAGCCATGGGTTGAGAGCATGTTAGATTACCCCAAGCCTGACTTACATAATTCCCTTAGAGTAAATGAAAGTTATCAATTGTTGGGAGACATCTATGCAATGACAGCTCATAACCTATTACTTCCTGAGGTTTATAAAGTCTTCACAAGGTTTTTACAGAGGTTGAACCCAAAGAGTTACCAGCAAACTCCAGTAATTAGGGCTCCTGGTAGCATACAGCCTTTGGATGTTCACATTTTACCTTATGTTAGGCAAATGTGGACCAAACCACAACAACATGGTGAAGAATTGGTTATTGATTCACCAGATCTTCTGCCACTATGGTTGAAACCTTTACCAATTGATGACATCAAAGCTGTGAGCGGAGTTTCTTGTGATCCTAATACCAGGATAAGTATTCAAAGCAAGAAGCAGGGACTATGGGAATGGGGAGGAATTTCAAGGATGAAAGAAATGAAGATGAATGGTCAAGTATTGATGCTGATGGGTGCAGTTTACAAAAGGAATGGGCCTAGTCTTAAGTTTGATAGAAGGGAGTGCAATATCATGGAACAAATGCTACTTCGGGATCAGGATTGGGGAATACAATTGGAGATTGTTGAGTTCTTAAATTCAAAGATAGAAACACAGTATGACTCAAGTTCTCTTGAACCTTCTTCTGACATGTGTGTGAATGAAGTTCTGCATGAGATATTTAGGGTGAAGTTTCAATCAAGAGATAGGGTGAAGTCAGAAGCAAATGCTAGGCTGAGGCTGATCAGGAGTTTTTCATATAGAGGACTAGAAGTTTGGAAAAGTATGACACCACCACCAGCTAGATATTGGGAGGGGAGAGGCACCCGGAGGAAGCGGAATTCCAGAATTGGTTCCTATCATCCCACCTTGAGGACAAGGTGGTTGTTTAGGGAGGGTGTATTGATAGGAACCCACTTATATTAGACTAATAATAGAAGTATTAATAATAATATTAGTAATAAGGGTCTGAGTACCCTAGTATAAATAGAGGGGTAAGGGAGTTAGAAAGGAGGCTTTTGGGACTTTGGTCTGGGAACTGGGAAGATTAGAGACTGACGATCTCTTCTCTTTTGGGAGGCTTCTGCCTAGGTCGCTGTACTGTTCATCTTCTTCAATAAAGAATTTCAGTTTGTTTCTTGATAATAATTCCTGTAATTGTTGTAATCTTGGAGGACTCTATCAGAACCTCCCTCTAAACTTAGAGACTGAGTGGGAATGCTATGAACACACATAGACAGACGGAACAAATTGCTAAATATACAAAAGTATGCTGAATTTTGCTTTAGATGTAGTATTCTTGGTAATACGGATCAGTTTAAGCCATCAGTACTTCCCTATGGCCCTTGAATTGAGGGGGGCCTTAAAACTATAAAAGTTTAACTGTGAGCTGATACCCCTCATGGTTGGTCAAATGGGGGTCACTAATGGCTTGATGGTTAGTCCCTGCTTCCGGGAAACACTGTGAGGAGGGGATGGAGGTGCAGACAGGTAAAATGAGGAAGAGGGGGATACTATGGGTGGATCAACAGGGGCTTGTGGTGTCTAATGAAGTTATAAAAGGAAAAGGTCTAGCGGCAGAGGTGGTGGGGTGTGGAGAAGGGAGTGGTGGCATGAGTATCAACCATGTCGACACAGATTGAGGCAGGGTAAACTGAGAAAATGCCAACGGCTGGAAGAACCACGTTTGGTTGTGATGGAAGAGGAGAGTGAGATGAAGGAGATGATATAATCAAGAAACAGGGAGCAGGCGGCTGTTGGGGGGGTTCCATCTCTACATTTAGGTGCTTTTGCTGCACTCTGCAGAGTAGGGAAGGTAGATATATAGGAATGTGGGGAGATGTACAGTGAGCTCTGGGTTGAGGCCTGGGGAATGTCAGGGTCACACTCTGTGAGTGAGCGGTCAGGATGCTTGGTCAAAGCAAAGTTCTCTTTGGTGATCATCTGTGAGTGAGTGAGTGAGTGATTGGTCATGATGGTTGGTCACACAATTGCATCATAGTCAAATACTTCTCTTAGCTTGTAGGTAGCAAATCAAGCTGGTATCATCTAGGTGAAGCTTATTACGGTGTGGACCACTATCTTAACAGTATTAGTCAAACCGGTTTTGGTTCTCACACACCTCTCACAAACAGAGGTGTTAGCTTGGCTGAAGTAGCTTTCTTGTTCAACGGATGGTCTGTGATTTTTTCCATTAGTTCTATATGACTATATTTGACCACTGAATTTATGTCTTTGTTTTACCTAATCTTTTGATTTTCTGTTTAAAATGATTACTTTAATCTAAGTATTTTCCACCCAAGCTATGTTTTTTCCGATACTATAATCTAAGTATGATTACAAGTTTCAGTGCAACTCGGGCTATTAGCTTAACAAAATCTGGATTATACTTGTAGGACTATAGTTTCCTTTTGTTGATGTTGCAAAACAGGTACATTGAGCTAGACGATTCAAAACAACATATAAGATCTTGAGCTCATCCTATCAAGTTAACTTTTTAGAATGAAACATTATATGTCCTAATATGTTGTTAGATCCGATTAAGCTCAAATTAGTGATTGGTCCTACTAATACTTAAAACGAGCACACGGGCATCAATACTTGTTTGCTCTAGCGAACCGCCATCTTGTAGGCATTTTAAGAATGTTTTTACTTAGACTGAAATTTTTTTATCTGATTGATCTCTTTAAATCTGACCTGGTCTGAATTAGTCTAGTAGATGTCTGGTCTTATGTGTTTTACAACTGTCGAGGTCTAGTCAGGGACTGAAACCAGACCAGTAAAACATCCTAAGTCATCCAACCAACCTATAAATCTTTCGCCTAAACCTATTATCAAGTTTACATTTTACCGAAAGTATACTGAAAGTTGGGTCCTGCTGTGGTATGCTTGGACGATTTCCCAATGATGACCACAAGACATGGACTTACAAAAATAAATTAATAATTCAGAGGGTTGTGAGGGGTGTCTTGAAGAACATTGTCATACCCATTAAATACTTCGTATGAAATAACTAAGCAATATATAAGAATTTGAATGAAACTCGGTCTTAATATTGTCTGTAAATTACGATTCCAGCGCACAATAATTGAACACCCATAATTTTATTCCAGACCTATGAACATCAGCATTCAGCAACCAATGAGAAATAAAAATAATAATAATAATAATTAACTTTTTTTGCAAGGATAATAATAATTAACTGAATTCTGATAATGAATAATGCAACTGAACTAACTTGTATCCAAACATAGGAGTACCTTTTTATGGCTTTGACGAACTCGGCAGCCGAAGGCTGGCGCATTCGCTCGAGGAAGTCGTGCCAAGTCAGAGGCGCCGTCGACGAACCAAACACATCGGCGTTCTCCATTGTTAACTGGAGCTCTGACCAGATCCGCGGTTAGGATTCTGTCAGAGCACGTCCAAACGGAGACACATGTCGGCCGATGCAGGGGAAGAGTTCGTATACCGAACAGCCACCGTACGGCTCACGTGGGGCATTTTGGTAATTTAGGTGTCCCCAATTGGGGATTCCTAAGAGATTTTAATGGAGTTTACGATTTCCTGAGAATTCAGGTGTTTCCAGTTTCGATTCATGTAGAATCCATGAAAATAAGGGTGTTCTTAAACATTCTGTGGATTTCTATTGTTACTTATTTATATAGATTTTAATGAATATTGATGAATTTCTACATACAAAAACAATTCACCACAATCTTGTAGACTCCGTTGAATTTCAAAATCTATGATCTTTTAAAATTCATCAAAGTCATAAAAGGGGACACCCCCCATAGGTCAAAATTGTGGCTTCACTTAAATAAACATTAATACATTTTTTAGGATGTGTTTTAACTTGGACTGAAAATTGATGGTCTGATCTGGTCTAGTCTGTTTAAGTCTAGTCTGAGTTAGTAAATGTCTAATCTATGTGTATTTTATAACTATGGAAGTCTGATCTGATTTGTTCGAGTCTGGTATAGTCTGGTTTGAGACTGAAAACAATCCAAGTAAAAACATCCTAGTGAACATCAAACGCATTTTGTTGAGTATGAGGACTAATCACGAGAGTTGTGATCTCTCATTTATATCTTCTAATTTACTTTCTTTTTCTTATTTTTTTTCTTTTATAAAAATTCTTAAATTCTTAAATTGCGATATCACCTACATCTCACATCGAGGTGTAGGTGAGGATGGTGATGGTGAAGGAAATGGTTTGAAAACGGTTAAGGATAAGGCTTGAGATGAGGCTTCAGAGGTAGATGAGGGTGGTGGCTGATGAGATGATGATGGTTAAGGATGTTTTTACTTGGATTGTAATTTGCTGGTCTGGTCTGATCTGGTCTGGTCTGGTCTGGTCTGAACTGGTATGGTCTGGTCTGGTAAGGTCTGGTTTCTTTGTATTTTTATAACTATCCAAGTTTGGTCTGGTCTGGTCTGGTCTGAACTGGTCTGGTCTGGACTGGTCTGGTATGGTATGGGGCAAATTACAGTCCAAGTAAAAACATCCCAAGAGCTAAATGGTGGATAAGGAATTATGGCTAAGGATGATTTCTCACAAGTACGTGACCTTTTCTCTCCCTCGTGATGATTTGAATCATCGGTGTCATCATGCTTACGCTTAGGTTGGCGCTCTTGATCACGGAAAGTGGCTTGGATAAAAGGCGGGGCAAGGGCTAGGATATCACGGGCTTGTATGAGATGGGGTGGTAGGTTGGTTTCACTTAAGAGGCGGTCAAGAAAGTATTCGAAAAGATCTATGATGTTAAGATTGGCAGGGTTGGGTGAAGAAGATGAAGGTAAGGATTGGGTAGTAATAGGTTAGGGGGTTATGGGTAAAGATGGAATGGTCAATGGTAGAGTTGAGATGATATTGGGTTGGGTGGAAAGATTAGATCCTATAAGAGTGGAGGGAGTGGGGTGTGATCTTTTATCTACTACGGTTTTTAGGTGTACAGGCCGTAGTTCTTGAATAAGAGAAAGTCTAAACACTGCAAGTTCAGACCGTCATATATCCTCCATAGTAATAAATGCATGAAATGAAAATTCAGATCTAAACATAGATTCTGTTATCACAACATTAGTAAAACTTGTTGTGCCATGGCTGTTGGGGAGATACGTGTGGCAGGACTTCCAACCATAATAGGCGAACCTATGGTTGTTCTGACTGGTTTTAATAATCCAGTATCAGTGTGTGAAAGAGGTTGTACCCTAGAAAATTGTAAAACATTTAAGATGGTGGGCACTTGACCTAACGTGCAAGGGCTTACAGTGTGGGGCGGTTCACTATATATATAATGGGTTCCCAGTAAATGGATGAAACAACCATTTGTTAGGAGACAGTTGAGTGGACAAGGTTTGGTTGAACTTGTGCCATTGAACTCGATGTGGCGACTTCTACTCGGGAACTGACAACGTCAGAACCTGTACTTATGGGTTGAGTTCGGGATATTGTAGTGACTAGCGGTGTCATAATAACAATAGAGGAGGAGACATCAACTCTCTTGGACTGAGTCTCACTTGCCCTCTTCTTTGGTTTAGAAGCTCGTCGATATACGAGGCCCCTGAATGGCTCGTCGATACCTCTGGGTATGAAAATACCGGGGCATTTATGATTGCTGCCCAGAGGTACTGTGGGGGCGCTTTTGGCGATGTGTTTTCTGCTGAACTGAAGAAACAGGCGCCGAAGGACCGCTTGGCTTTTGGGGTCCGGATCCTCGAGAGTGCTCCTATATACGAGAAATTCTTATATGACGTTGGGGACATCTCCTTCGTCATCGGCTTGAACGAGGGGGTGAAGGCCACATTGCCCGTCTTCGCCGCGCTGCAAGGTCCCGACTTCAACTTGGCCCAGCATACCAACGATGTCGAGCTGATCCGGGCTTTGAGCAAGCTGGAGAGTGACGCTCGTCGGGAGGAGGCCAAAGCCAGGAGGGAGATCCCGGATCCTCCAACCCCATAGCCTGAACTTGAGGAGGAGGAGGATGCTAATCCTGGAGGGTCTCGGCCGGTTTCTCCCAATTTTTGTTGATGTATTTTCCTTTGCTCTTTGAACTAGACTGTAATATCCAACCGTTAGAGCGGAGGAATACAAGAGCGTTTTTTGCCCCACAATTGTCTCTTTTGCTTTGTCATTTTTCTTGCCATTTTTTTGTGTTTGATAGCTGCATGAAACCCTAGGGTTAAACGTGCGACGTGGTATACCATATTTGGAGTAGTGCCTCATTCGTACGTAGCATTATTCGCAAGAAATTACATCCGATGGTGTCGGCATCTCTGCTGAATCATCACTACGATATTAAGTATGTGGGACTTTAGTTATGTGAGGACGAGTGTGCCCCTTTGTTGTGACGACGTTCATCCTCTACCGGCATGAATATTTCCCACCTCACATTATGTTGGTTTTTTTAACAAGTATCTCAGTCTGATTCCCCTGTGAACTTATTACGCAAGTACGAACTTGATTGCTTGGTGCCCTTATCTGGTAGCGATGTCCGTCCGCGCGCCGTTGGTTCCGGCATCTCTCATCCTTGTACTTGTACTTTTCGTGCTAAGCACTAAGATCCAAATTCCCTTAGAGACGCTCGTCCGCCCAACCCGCTTGTTTTTCTCAAGTATGTGGGGACGAACGTAACCTCAGTGGCGTGTGGAAACTCTTAAGGCAGATGAGCCCATTTTTCCTCTTGTACCCTTTGGGCGAGTGGTAAGTGCCTGGTGGTGCGCCCCGACCCAAGCTCTTTATGTAGGACGTACGTCGCACCGTTCTCATGGTGGGTCATGATATTCCTTGTTGTAATTAGCGGGTGCTAGGATCGAGGCGCCTTTAATACCGCGGAATATACCGGTATCCTGGTGCCACGTGTCTATCCGTGATTGGCGCAGTCCTGCGGTGCTGCCTATAAGTATTCGGAAACACGCAGATCAACCATTTGCTTCTTCTTTGGCCTTACGCTGTGCAATTTCTTTCTCTCTCTAGCCACACTCCGCACTGCGTCAGTCTTCGATACTACAGGTACCGAACGTCATCATGTCTTCTTATAGGTTGGAGTCCCATATTATTGACCCAAGGACCCAGGTCAGCTCGTCGTCCGCCGAGGATCGTTTTGACGACGGGTGTTCCTCCGGCGATGACTTGGAGTTTTATGAACGGGGAATGCCATCTCGGCCTCCCTGTCACCACCTCAATTTCTCCTGCGTTCGGCGTCAGCGCCAACGCTTGTCGAATGCTGACAAACGTGTGATTAGCCAATGGTTTTATCCCCCAAGGGTTTATGACGATCGTCGCCTGCGCAATCCCATGCGCCATCTGCCCGGCTATGTGGTAGTTCACCTAGACTCGGTCATAGCCGACCTCTTCTTCCCCTTGCACCCCTTCCACATGGAACTCTTCATGGGCCTTAAGATAACACCCGCGCAGCTCGTCCCCGCTGCTTATAGGATCATCGTGGGTTTCATCATTAGATGCCACAGCGTTAATGTGGCCCCCACTGTAGATCTGCTGGATCATTTCTTCCGGTTGTCCCCATTTGGGCGTACGGGGTACTTGACCCTGATTGCACGTTCGTCCATGGTCTTGTTCTCGAACAACGCCGGGAATCCGAATGGTTGGGAGGAGCGGTTCTTCCTCGCCGGAGTAGGCTCCCCGATGCCATTTTCTGATAGATGGAACGCCTACCCGGTGAAGTCCATCCCATCGCCCATGACGGATAAGGAGCTGGGATATGCCAGGCGTATAGCCGGCCTTGGCATCCAGAACCTCCGATTGTTGGTGGCTGAGCCTTTTGTAGCTCAGACTAGATTAGGTGCGTCCGTTTGTACTTGTATTGTCCTATCACCTTTTCGTTATTATGGTTCTGAACGTCTTGGTTTCTTTCCTGCAGGAGTTTTCCCATCTTCTTCCTCCATGGGACGTTCTAACAATATCTCCATCATTCTTGGCCGTGAAAGCAAGGATCAGGACAAGGGTAGAAAACTGCTTGTCCCCAAGATCGAGCCTCGGGTGACCAGATCACGAGCCGAGGAGGCCTCGGAAGCTGGTGCTTCGAAAAGACCTCGCCATGAGGGTACTGCTTCTAAGGCCATCATAGTGGCCGATGATTCCTACGAGGAGCCTGGGAGACCCCTCAAGCGGAAGCATGCTTCTAAGAGCAAAACCCTTCCTTCCCCGCCAAACAATTCTGACGTCCGTCGCCTCCGGGATGAGGATGTTCACGTCACGGGTTCCACCGACGCTCGTCCTTCTTCGCCACAGGAGGCCAGCAGGTCTTCCCTTGGACTTATTGAATTCTCCGGGGTTGGCCCTCGCAAGGAGTCCATGATGCTCTTTGGCCAGACCGCCTCTTCCATCGATCTGGTGTGGCCTTAATCTCAAGGTTCCTCAAGACTTCGCCAGTCAGGAGGCCCCCGAGGATCTTCTTGAGTGTGGTCAAAGTACTTTAGATAAGGCCGAGCTCTACTTCCACAGGGCTCGGATGGCCTTTGAGCAACAAGGGAGGGAGATGGCCGC